TTTTGTTGATTGCCCTCAATTATCGTCGATCGTGCAGAGAGAAAGCTAAAAAAACAAGTCATCTGAGAACTCTTATGATGATTGTCGTCGACTCGTCGTCGCTCAAATACAACATGGGAAAAGAAAACCAATCGTATTCCGATTCCACAATAAACCTGTTTTCTATATCGGTTCCACATTAAACCTAAACCGGTTCTTTGGCCCACTAAACCCGGACCTGGTCCATTAAACCCGGTTCCGGTTTTTTATACAAAATCGGTTTAAAAACCCGGATTAAAGCAGACCCGTTAGACCCATACTTGAAATACACGTATAAGAGTAATTTTTGAAACCCAATAACCTGACCGTTTAAGCATTTTCCAGTTATACCGGTTCCGATCCCGGTCTGATTTTGCTTCCGGTCCGGTTTTCCAGTTTTATACCTGATCCCTACATTCAAAGACAAAGGATTAAGTTTTGTGACTAGGGCTGTAAACGAACCAAACGAACACGAACAAGGTATTGTTCATGTTCGTTCGTTTAAGTTAGCCGAACAACAAACGAATAAACGAACGAGATTTTTTTGTTCATGTTCGTTCGTTTAATAAATTACTTTGTTCATGTTCGTTTATTTATGTTCCTGAACATGCTAAACGAACATAAACGAACAAAGATAAAAAAAAAACACAATTTAACATATATGAACATAAACGAACATATAATATAGCAATATAATAAAAAATAATTGAATATAGATGAATATAAATAAACTTAAACGAACGAACATAAACGAACATCATAAACGAACGTTCACGAACATAAATGAACGAACGAGACCATTGTTCATGTTCGTTCATTTAACTAAACGAACGATAATTTTTATTTATGTTCGTTTATTTATTAAATAAACGAAGATAAACGAACTTCCCGCCGAACAGTTCACGAACGGTTGGCGGTTCGCCTTATTTGTGACTGTGTCCATTGCCAACTTCCCTCTCACTCTTCCCAAGATTCTTTTGATCTGTTTATCGTGCCGCATCTCTCTCTTTCATCTTCTCTTTCCTATTAAGATTTGCATTAAACTCAACTACTTTAAGCCCTACTCCTCTTTCTCCGCTCCTGCATTACATACATCTCTTCAACAATGGTCGCCGGCGATTCCAAATCCGACATATCTTTTGCCGGTACTTTCGCCAGCAGCGCTTTCGCCGCTTGTTTCGCGGAGGTATTCCGACTTTTCACTACCCTTATTTTTTTTCTCTGTATCGTTTCTGGTAATGATTTTGATGCTTCAATTTGTATTTGTGCCAAAATGATTCAATTTCGTTCCTCAGCATATTGATTTTGATCAGAATAGCTAAAAGCTATGAAATTGAGTGCGCAGTTTATTTGCGTCTAATGGTTTTTGCTTCCCCCTTTGTAGCTTACCCAATTAATTTTGTTTCTCATCAGTACACTGATTTTCAATCTCTCCGGCACAAAACTCCACGAGTTTCGCTCTGATAAAGTATTCATGTTCATTACCATCAATTTCCTTCTGCAGATTTGTACAATTCCATTAGATACAGCAAAGGTGAGGCTTCAGCTACAAAAGAAAGCAGTTGCAGGAGATGGAATCGCTTTACCTAAATACAAGGGAATGCTAGGTACTGTAGGAACTATCGCAAGAGAAGAAGGTCTTGCTTCGTTGTGGAAAGGCATTGTTCCTGGATTACATCGTCAATGTCTCTTTGGAGGTTTAAGAATTGGCCTGTATGAACCTGTACGTATTTCCTCCCTTTTCCTCGTTACATTTTGTTAACTCTTATCCATTTGTTCTACACAAGCGAATCAACGTGAACAGTGTTTCTTTCATGAAACAGATTAAAAACTTATATGTAGGTGAGAACTTTGTTGGAGATGTTCCTTTGACCACTAAAATACTTGCAGGACTCACAACTGGTAAAGCACATTTCATGGATCATCTCTAATCTCTTTCTATTATTATAATTTAGCTTGTTAATCATGTGATATTGTCTATGATTTTTTTATCGTTTTGTTTTGTTTTTGAAGGTGCTCTTGCAATATCTGTGGCAAATCCTACTGATTTAGTAAAAGTTCGCCTTCAAGCTGAAGGAAAATTAGCAGCTGGTGTGCCTAGGCGTTACTCTGGTGCATTAAATGCTTATTCAACAATTGTGAAACAAGTAATATATCATTTTCTTCATCATTTGTTCTTCATTATTCACTATTATTTACTTTAAAAAAAAAGTTAATTTGTATTTCAGGAAGGAGTTAGAGCTCTATGGACTGGACTCGGGCCAAATGTTGCCCGTAATGCAATAATAAATGCAGCCGAATTAGCAAGTTATGATCAAGTGAAACAGGTTCTTTTTTCTTTTTCCATTTGTTGTATAACTAAAGGTTGTTTCTTCTTTGGATTGGACGAGTGTAAATGACTGTTTTACCCTTGCAGACAATTCTCAAGATCCCAGGGTTCACTGATAATGTTCTTACCCATTTATTATCGGGTTTAGGTGCGGGATTTGTTGCTGTTTGTGTTGGATCCCCAGTTGATGTGGTATGTATTTTTAATCTAATTATGTTCTAAAACTTTTAATTCAATCTTCATAAATTGATTGAGAAGAATATTTTCTTGTTTTTTGTAGGTTAAATCAAGAATGATGGGAGATGCGAGTTACAAAGGCACCATTGATTGTTTTGTGAAGACATTGAAGAATGATGTAAGGGTTTTTACTTTTTACTCGCATACACGTCACAATTTCTAATAATAGAAGTTCATGATGTGAATTTTAGATGAATTACAGTTTTTGTCAGACAATGTACAACCTGTTCTGTTCTTTCTTTTCTGTTTTAAGAAAAAAGTAATTTTTTGAATTTTTTGTGTTAATAATAATAGGGACCATTGGCTTTTTACAAAGGCTTTATCCCAAATTTTGGAAGATTAGGTTCTTGGAATGTCATCATGTTTCTCACCTTGGAGCAGGTACTATATTTACCAATTTGCCATCCTCGATTTTATTTTCTATTTTACTCCCTCTAAAAATCACAATTTTTTAGAGGTGGGGGTACATTTAAAAATGACCCTTTTGCCCATGGTTATATTAAAAATCAAAATGTATTTAAAATTAAAATGTACATTTAAAAATGACCCTTTTGCCCATGGTTATATTTAAAATTAAAATGTATTTTGGAGATTTTATTGAAATGAATATATTACTTTACGAATGTTTTAAATGATTTGATTTTTTTTGACAGGCGAAGAAGTTCGTTAAAAGCATTGAGTCTGCATGAATTGAATTCAACCGAAAGATAGTACAAAAATTACCCTTTTGTCCTCACCTTCTGCACTAGAATAAATTCAATAATGAAATACGCATCTTATAAAAAAGTCATTAAAATTACACAAGGTATGGAAGAAACCCATTCCATATTATTCCCAAAATGAGGGGAAGATATGTACGTTTTCATGCATGTTGTATAAATTATCATTGATAATTGAAAGAAGTTACAGTCTGTTTTAGGCGAAATATGTCTGATTAACGATAATGACACGTTTGCCTTTTGACTTTGTATGATTTATTATTGCCCCCACTTTGAGTATTGTCGATAAGTAAATGTTACATTTTGGTTATTTTCGTACAAGAAACATCCGTCTAAAAGAATTAAGGATACAATAAGGATTAAAATAGCCAGTTTATATAAAATTTAATGGAGTAAAACTAATGGTGTTAAAGTTTAGGACCAAAACCACACAATCAGACTTTAAAAAAAAAAAAAAAAAAACTATATGGAAAGGTCCCATCCAAAAAAACAATAGACCACAGACAATTTTTGAAGTTTTCTCTGAATTATAAAATTTTACAAATTTATACTTTTTCTTTTCTATTATTTACCCAAGTTTATTTCCATGTCTTGAGTACCATTTATTTAGAAAATACTTAATTAAGAACAAGAAAACATGACCCGATGATGGGTTGTCATGATTTTTAGACACAAGGGCAGTAGGACAACATGCATGTTGTGATGAAGACTACTACATAATTAATCATTATTTTAGTAGAAAGTGGGACAAGATTTGTTGATAATTGAGGAATGTAGGGAAAGTATAAGTGAGTAATGTATATATGATGTAGGGATAGGGAAATCTCGACCTCTTTCTTTTTCTTGTCTTTCTTTATTCCTACACTCTTTATATGATGGCAACCTAACCATGACTATCCAGACACGAAATAACCAGGTTTGGATATGAGTTTTCAATCGGTTTAAATTAAACAGATTGCCACAAAAGTTAAATATGTAAGATTAGGATTGAAATTTTCAACTAAAAAATGACATGTAATTTTTAATTTTTTAGATATATTATACCAACCCAAATCCAAAATGAGATATGAAAGAAAAACTTTGATAAAGTCTCTTTCTAATATGAAAACTACTTAGCCACATACATCAAAATCTCATTTTTAGTTTTTTCCTTTCTCTAGACTCCATAGTCTCACTCTATTACTCCCATCTCCTCATGACCTCGCACCTCTACCTACCAACTCATATTCTTTCCATTTTCATTTTTTTTTCGCCTCCTCAACTCCTATTATTTCAACTTGTTTAGTGATTCAAACTAACATGACACAAAACATCTACAAGGTCTAACCCCTAACCCACTAATTGACACAAAAATAACCTGGTTGACATGACACAACATGCTGATTAAACGAGTCGTTAGAGACAAAATCTTTTAATCTGTTTAATGTTTCGAATCGATTCAACAAGACATGTTTGCTATGTCTTCCGCAAGGTTTGGATGAATCTTGAATATAAGTTTTGCGATTACAAATCATTTAGTTTTAATTAGTTGGTGACGGAAATTCAGTTTTTGTAATGAAAACAAGACAAACATATGATTTGGTTTTATACAAATATTTTATTTTGATTATACGTACATGTATAATAATACAATTTATAAAGCTATATATATGCTAAGCATATAAAAAGCTAATATATGTAAGAGCTTTTTAATAACCATGAAAGTTAACTAAAGAGGAATACACCTATTTATTTATTTGATGAATATGTTTATACAATTTTGTGTAAAATAAGGGTTGTTAATGGTCTTTGCTAGGATTGGTCCACGCAATATACGAAAAACGTTAACTAGCTATTACATGTAATCCGGGATATAAAATAATAAAATATAACATTGAAGATCGACTATCAAAAACCTTAATTATGTTTCAGAAAGAATAAAGCATTATCATATTGATATATCAACAGAAGAAACTTTCTTTTACAAAAGAGTCTAGAGTTAGACCTACAAAGAATGAAGTAAACGTATATCGCAAGGCAAAAAGGATGAAGAATAATCAAACGAACCCATCACAGGAGCAAGCACCAGTGCTTGTACGCAGGTCACCATGTGGGCGAGGTTTGGCAATGAGACAGCAGCAAAGGAAGCCGATAAGGAGTAACAAAGCAGCTGCGGAGGCCATTCCTTGTACCCAGTTCATGTAATTCTCCATGATTCCGATCTGATTAATGATTATTATCAACAATGATTTGATGGGAGGGAAGAAAGATATATGTTTAAGCATGAAAGGAGATGGGAGAAGTAGTAGTACAGGGTGTCGACGGGATAGAGTAATGATGATGAGCTGAAAAGACCATTTACAGAAAAGAGAGAGAGCAGAAGAAAACTACAGGAGCATGTGGTTAGAATCGAATAAGACTGTTCTTTAAGCCATTGGGTTTAAATATGCATCATTGCTAAAACCCAACTTCCGACTATCAATCTTATCAACCAACTTTTTGGTAATAAAGAAAAAATAAATAAATAAAAAGAATAGGTTGTTGTTATAGTCGACAAAATTAACTTTATTTTATTTGGAAGCTGAAAGCTTAGTTTTGAATAGATCGGTTCAATAGATCAAATTAAATGAATCCAAATTGGTTTTAGTTTTAAAAATACTGATCTAACTAGCTTAAATTAAATTAAAATCTGCTTCGAATCAACTAAATTAAAATTCGTCTGGATCGATTTTATAATTCAGATTGAGTAAACAATTTTGTTTACATGAATTAATGTGTGTGTTTTTTTCTTTCTTCTTCTTCTTTTTTTTTTTTTATTATTATTTTAATTATTTTAATTTTTATTTTATAGTTTGGGCTATACTTTAATACTATTAAAAAGACAACTCAACTAAGCTAATAAATGATTAAAAGGTTATTTTAAGATTAAAAATTTGATTATTTTGGACTATTTGGTTCTCATTTGTAGCCAAATCAATTCAAAATCCTAAATAATATTGCAGTTTTGAATGAACCAACCCAAAAGATCCGAACATATGAACTATAGAGTTCAATCAAAACTGTAAAATTAGAAAATTCAACTTTATCCGAATAATAAATAACTATACTGAAAGTTGTAACTTGTAGGTTTTAATTGTTTACATGTATTTAAAAAAAATAGTTGCAAGTTTTTAAAAATATTAAATAACATAAAACATATAAGCTAAAAACAATTAGAAGTTTTCAAAAATTAATTGAAACAGATTTTGAATTATGAGCATTTACAGAAAACTTTTAAATATTTGTTGTCAAACATACTAATGAAAAAAGTAACCATCCTTTCCATTATTTAATTTTAGTTTTATCTTTATATATATATATATATATATATATATATATATATATATATATATATATATATATATATATATATATATATATATAATATTGTATTATGGGAGTCATAGTAAGACTAGTCAGTATGGAATAAAAAATAACGCGGATGACTGATATGGCACCTCCATAATAACACCATCGTGACAGATGGAACACCATCCCTTACTCATGTTATATTAATGATCATTGTAACCATAATGAGAAGCAACATCTCATTTTTCTTTCTTCCTTCATCTGCTCCTTTGCATTTTCTTCTTCAACGTTTCAATAAAATGAACGTCATTCCTTTTAGATGTTATGGAGAGAAATGATGATGAGACAACTTTATGGCTGAGTATACCCATACCCAACGGTCTAAAAAAAACAAAAAATTATACTATAATCAGATATGTTTTTTAAACTATAATATGATAATAAGATAAAAAAAATACAATATATGATTTAAGTATATTTTCAAGAAACAATATCTTAATATAAAAATACTTGTGATAGAAATTATAAACAATTTGATCAAATATAATATAATATTTAATGTTGTTTGTTGTATTAATTCTAAAAATTGATGTATGATATGAGTTATCGTATTTTTTAGAAAAGAAATTTAAAATGAGAAATATTTGCGGTTCCAAGATTGAGGCTAATTAGTTAATAAGTGTCATATTCAACGCTAAAAGACATTATGTAATAGAATAAGTACAAGATTGATGGTAGACATGATGGCGTATTCTCTTTCTTTAAATAAGAGAAATTAGATAATATTTATAGAATATTATTTCAAAAGCAAAGGAAATTAACTTGATTATTATTTATAAAGTTTTCCACATTTCTAGCAAAAAAGTAATGAACAACGTTATAAACATGACTTATTCCATACATACATTCATTTTGTTAAAATATTGCCACTTGATGATTTTAAGACGTAAGTGATTTTTCAGAAGACAAAGTTTGTTATAAGGACGCATTTTTTAATACAACTCTTTTTTACTAATGGCAAACTTAATTGTTGACTTGTTTGTAGAGTAAATTACACATCTCAACCCTGGAACAAATTTTCCTCCGTTGTTATTGTCTTTTGACTTTGTTCAAAAAATGTATTCTCATCTTCTTGTCTCTTCTTGTGTTCAACCTCTTGTTTTTTCGTTTAGAGAGATTACATGTCTAGTTTTTCTTAGACTAAAGAAGTAACATTAAGCCTTAAGGTATTAGCAATATACATTATTAACTTTGTCAGCTAAGAAAGACAAAATTGCAAAAATGGTCCCTGTGGTTGACAAAATTCTGCAGTTTTGGTCCGAAAAAGTTTGGTGGTGCATCAATGGTCCAATTTTGGATCTTTTTAGTGTTTTTGGTCCCTATACACTTAAAATGACTATTATACCCTTTAGATTTCTATTTTCTATTTTTTTAATGTTTTTAAATAATTAAAGATACAAAAGGTCTCTCTCTCTCTCTCTCTCTCTCTCTCTCTCTCTCTCTCAAGAGTACCCACCAAATGCCACCCTCTCAAGAACTCCCAACATATCCCACCATCGTTCACCATCAAGATCCATCTGCTACCAACGACGTTCACCACCACCATCTGTCTGCCATCATCTCCATCTACAACCACCATCCGCCTGCCACCGTCGTTGCTCTCCACCATCCGCTTAAGAACACACCCAAAATCTTTCTTTATCTCTCCTCCTGCCACTATCTCCATTCCCCAACACCATTCGCCGCCAACCACCTCCATCTCCCCCACCCCGCCTCTCCTTCCTTAACTTGATAAGCTTTCAACACCAACCACCAAACCACCGGTCATTAGATTTTTTCTAGAAAACCCTACTATATGCCTTTCCCTCCCAGATCTTGCTGGAAAAATCAAACCAAAAGCTTGGTCGAGCTCCTCTAACTTCTCACCATCCACAAAGACCCGAAAAATCGGAAAATCGATGGTTTTAAAGAAGAAGGTGAGTGTTGAATGTGGCTTGATGTTGATTTTGTTGTCGAATAGTCAATGTGGCAGAAGGTGGATTGAAAGGAACATATGAGGTCGATGGTGGTAGCGCATCCATCAGCCTCCCAAATTAGCCAACAATCACCACCATAAACACTCCACCTTTTTCTTGATCACACGAAAATAACCACCAATCACCTCCCAAATTAGCCACCAATCACCACTATAAATTGACATGACATCTCTATTTAGAACAAAGAAAAAGAAACGGGAGGTAGGTGTCGATCAATTGTGAAAAACAGGAGACGTGGGGTGAACCAAGGCGATATAAGGCAAGAAAAAACCCAACCTCTCCGATCACCTTCTTTGTCTTCAGATTTTGAGATAATTTCCAAACCCCGACCCTTCATGTTCGTCTCCTTCTTATTTAGAATAAAAAACTGTGGAGATTTGGGGTTTTTGTTACAGGTGTTCAGATGTAATGGTGGCATGATGGTTGTCGAAGAAACAGATGTGAAGGGTGGTTATTGGTGGTGCGAAGGAGAAGCATGGGACGATGAAGCCTGCAATATTGATTCGGTAGAGAACGCCTTCAAGAACGAGTTGGTTTTTGTTTTGATCTGGAGGATGAGAGAGAGAGAGGGAGAGAGAGAGAGAGAGAGAGAGAGAGTGTGTGTGTGTGTGGTGGGTTTATTTTATTTTTGTTTTTCATTTTATTATAAGAATAAGAAAAGAAATAAAAGAAATTAAAATATAATTATTTAAAGGGCATATTAGTCATTTTAGGTGGGATGTGGACCAAAAACACAAGAAAATACAACCATAGGGACCAAAACCACACAATATATCTAAAATTGGACCAGTGGTACACCAACATTTCGTTTTGGACTAAAAGCACATAAATTTGCCAACTACAGGGACCACTTTTGCAATTTTGTCGCTAAGAAATAACATTAAGATATTAGCAACATACATTATTAAATTTGTCAACTATTTATAGATAAGGAAAAAATGACATTAGACTTATAATGTTTTCATAATTTATCTAACCAGTCCCTAAATTATTTTTGTTATTTTATGGGGGGTATAAGGTGGATGTTGACATATTTTTTTAGTTACTGCTATTTAATATAACAAGTTTCATAAGCCACATATTGTTTTTTTAAAAGAAAAAGAAAATGGATCACCCACTCTTTTCCTTTCCCCTTTCTCTTCCAACGAAGTACATCACCACCCAACCTTAAGAAATCCTCACTGAAAATTGATACTAGCATAACCCTAAATCGACGACAATGGTGGTGGTTAATGACAAAGCGTGGGTGTAGGTGGTTGACGACGATAGTAGACAGAGCTTCGAATGGACGAAGCTAGCCAATGTTCAGAAGATTGGACCTCCTGTTCTTAAGACTCGCATCCGTTAGATTCCTTCACAACTGTCCTAACGGGATCCATCGACGTCCCCTTAGTAGATGCAAATGTCGCCTTCTCTACTTCGAGAAAAATGAACTTCACCTTGTTTCGATTGGATAATGATTCGAAAATGAGTGTAGTTTTCGATGGATTTCATTGAGTGACTGATTTTGATAATGATTCGAAAATAAACTTCACCTTGTTTTCAATGAGTATTTTGCCGAACAAATCTCTATAAACAACATCCTTTCAAACAAACAAATTGCCACCATTGACCTGATAGTAGCTAACAACGTAGTTTCACTCCTACCTTCATCTCTCGTAAAATCGTTCGTCGAGGGTTTTAGTGTAAATCATTATAAATGGCGATGATGGTGGGGCTATTTTGGGGCTCAATTCTCAAACTTGAAGTTAGGTACATAGAGGCTGTTGGACCTTGGCATGGATATGGTGATGATGGTGGGGTTGTTTTAGGTTTTTTTTTTTTTTTTTTTTTTTTTTTTTTTTTTTTTTTTTTCACAGTAGTACATAAGGTGATGTTTCTAGCGGTTGGAGATGGTAATGGTTTTGGTGGTGGTTGATGGGAGATGGATAATTGTTGGTTTTAACTTGGTGCAAGGATGAAGAAAGGTGAAGGTACCGATGGTGGTGATTTGGTGGTTTGTGGAGGAAGAAATGTGGTGTTGGTGAGTTATCAAGGTGGTCATAGTGGGGATAGGGTGGTATTAAAGATGAGTTGTTGAAATTCCAGACCACGTTTGATAGTTTTTGACTTTTGCTCATCTATTTCATAATGGGTAATCGGTTTATCCCTTTGTTTTGTCCAAAGTGACCTTATAGACCCGAAAAAAATCCATGTTATGCCTCCATAAAAAAAACTATAGTGACTGGTTAGACCAATTCCTAAAACTTCATAGGACTACAGTATCATTTCACCTTATAGATATGATCTGTATATTTGATTGAATCCATTTATGTATATATATATATATATATATATATATATATATATATATATATATATATATATATGTATAACTATTTTATTTGTTACATAAATACTACTAGAGTCGTGTCATAAAGAATAAACCATCATCTCCATGGACGAAACGGCATCGACCTCCTACTAATACTGCCTATTGATTGTTGCTACTTGAATTGATAATTAACATGGCTAATCCTCCTTAATTGAAGCAACATTCAACATAAGGTTTGTATTCTTGATGTCACTAAAGTCATGTGCTCATTGCGGGTTAATTTGTTCAAGCTTGACGATATTCCTCCCCATGTCGAAGCTGACCTAGCCTTTGAATAATGGTTCGGGATAGATGTCGATGTTCTTCAGTAGTGGATTTACAAAACATAATGTTGTACACTCTCTTTGTGCGTGTCCTAGAACCCAAATATATGGATTTTGAATAATAGACATGACTCATAAAACTTGTTTCATATCAATAAAGGATCTTACATGCTGATTCTTAATCTCGTGGTCAATAATTTAACTCTTAAAACCACCTTATCTCTTGATGAATATTGCCAATGATTGAAATACATTGCAGGTCAATAAGAAATGTGATTAGTGCAATTAACGAGTAATGACTCATGCTTCTTTTAGGATTTTTTGAATGGATGAATAATATAAAGGCACTAGCAAGGAACTAGGCCAAAAACAAAAATTACATCAAAGTATTTAAAATAGGTTCTATAATCTATAAGTTCCAATCTATGTGAAACTTATGTTTCCTATGCACTACCCAACAGAAAGATAAAAACTACAATATCATTGACAATCCTATCCTTTTGGGTCTAGTGCTCTAAAAACCACACTTATTATGAAAATTCCAAATCGTTGACCAAGTCGTCGCTGTGATCAAATCTAAAATCAAGAAAATCCATGGGGTTATTGGAATCCTCCTCCTTTTCCATACTAACTCAATCTGGTTGGGCATATAACTAAGCCATAAATCCATCCTACTATGCAAACCATCCCAATACACTACCTCAACACAATCATCAACCTTCATAGCCATCTATTTCCCCTAACAACCACTCTTTTGATTGAAAACCTCCACCATATGTGTATATCACAAACATGATACCCTTGACCCATAATAGTGGTGAATGAAGAATTAAAGACTTGAAATAGTACTATGATCATCAAATAAATTGCTAAAAGCAATGATATCAATGTGAAAAACATCCCACCAACATATCAACAAACTAAAAGAAAAACCATATAGACCTGGAGCCTTGTCACTACCAAGGAACCAAACAGCATCTTTAATCTCTTGAATTGTAAAATTCGATTCCTATATTTTTGCATGACCCAAGGACAATACTTTACATTGAGGGATTCTTTGTGGTATTCAAATCCCCTCAAAGTGCTGAAATTTGTCTTTTAAAAAAGATGAAAACACATTCTTAACTTGAGAACGATCCCTTAACTAATCACTTTCCACCATGAAACCCTAAATATCCATTTGATGTCTTTTCTTATTAAACATTTTATGAAAAAATTATAAAATTTCAACCCTTTCGATCATCTACTTTATCTTTTCTTTTTCCCCAGATCTAATGATTTCAGATTCTTAATATCAGTTAATTTAATAATTAAACTAAGTCATCAAGTATTATCTTGGTAGTCACATTATATGTATCAAGTAAGTATTTCAGATTTTAAATTTACAAGTTTATTTTTAACACAATAAATTTATTCCACGACATGTCATAATGCTCAATACATGGCAACGATAGAATGGGTGCTGATAATCAAGGGTGTGGTGATGGTTGTCGGAGGATTCCAATATTTCTTTTGTCAGCTCCGGTATGCTGAGCATTGACATTTCTTTTAATTCGTATAAATCGTGGTGTAAGCAGTAGATGTAATTAGCTTCAATGAAATGTCATACTCTACATTATTTGGAAAGGGAACTTCCCTAACTAGAGTTCCATTCAGCTTTTGTGAACCGACTAATCCCCCACTCCAAATAAAAGGCTATATGTCATGCCCTATAGTCACTGCAGACGAACCTCCATGGCCATAGGGGCTGAGTAGTGCTAGAATTTGAACATGGGTCAATAGTTTATCCACCATATCTTCCACATGCCTTACTAAGTCACTACAACCCAAATGGTTAAATGTCATTCTGTTAACAGCATATCACAACGCCTAACAAAAAAATAATATAAATAAAAATACTGCTCAAATGCACTGAGGGATAGTAAGCAGGGTCGAATCCACAAGGACACGTCCTAAGGTCTATGCCTATCTTGCGTAAGGCACTAACTATATTAAAAATAATTAAAAATGGGGGGATTTGTTGACTATTAAAACTAACTTGGATAGGAATTTATAAAATAAAAATATAACTTAAATATTAGAATAAAATTCAAAAAGTAAAAACAATTTCATTTTTACGGTGACTCTCCTAACCATGCAAACAACCTTCAACACGATTATCTAATTGTGTACTGTTTAAACTTGTACGGAAAATTATTCATAAGCTCTAACATTTTTCTTTTACTAAAATGTTTAATCAGATTAATCCTTACATTTTACTGAATTAACCAAATAAGCTCTTAATTAATTTAGAAAAGTAGCATTAAACACAATGTAAAATTCTCAATAAAGTCCAATACTTCTCACAAGTTGAGAAGCGTAAAGACTTGCTTAATCAGTTTATATTAGAGTTAACCCTAACACAAAATTAATCTAATATTCGATAGTTTTAATGATTAATAAGACAATTACGGATCTAAATAAATCAGATAACTGAAATGATTCATTAACAATTAAAGTGACTAACAGAAACTGAATCAAAATTGAACTTTCAATTAGGCATGAAACTGATCGAACTAAACAATAAACACAATAAAAAAAAATCATGCCTCATGCCTAATGATTATTTACACAAAAAGTCGAGTCGTTTGTGAAACTAAAATCTAGGATATTTAGCCTGACATGGCTAAAAACGAGTTACAAACAATAAAAGTAAAGTCTAAACCAGAATTCTTACTAAAGTAGATGAACAAGTCAAACCGCAATCTTCAGATTTGGAAAATCAGCCGAAAACTTCACAAAATCCCCAGAAAGTCATCTGCAGTTGCTTAGGTTTTGACTGAGAAGACATGCCCCATTTATATAGCGGGCTTGGTAGAAAATAAGGGCTTTAGCGAGAAGCACGGGCCGTGCTTGGGAAGCACGACCCATGTTTAGAGGCGAGTCGAGTCACGCCCGTGTTTAAATAAAGTAAATTGCCAAAACAAAACTTTTTTATCAGAGCACGAGCATGAAGCACGACCCGTGCTTGAGTGACTAGGCCGTGGCCTTTACATGTAATGTAACAATCTTTAAAAAATCAATAAAATTTTCATATGGGAGTAAGCACTTTCTTCAATTCTCTTGCATACCCATACACGTTTAGCTTTGGTTAAGCTCCAATGCTCCATTCTTACATCCAAAGTCCAATTCTGCATCCAAATCCATGAAAAATACGTTAAAATATAAGCAGCACGGGCATTCTTATGGAAAATGGACTTTGTTCAAATTATACTAAAAAACATGGTTACAAATGTGAAAAATACGATACATAATTAAATTATATATAACCAAGATGATTCATAAAAATGTATCCAACAAACCTCCCCAAGCTTAGGCCTTACTAGTTGGATCAATTTAAACACAATTAGCTTTCTATTAAGAAACTATGTGCCAATGGCCTTTGGATTTATTTGATGTTTGGGCTTCACCACAGTTGTCGTGATGACTTGCAGTAGAGGATGAACATCATCAGAGATAAAGGGATAAGACGGCATTGGAGTGGAGGAACTGATAAGTGAGAGGGTGGGGGCATGGTGGACCTATGATTATGAATAACATATCTCTCTATTCTAATAAATGAAAAATTTTATTCTCTTATTAACAAGTGTCATACTAATAGAACTTCTAATTAATATTATATGTTAACTATCATACCACTTGTCAACCTATTAATTATCAATTTCAAATTTCAAAATTTAAATTTATCACTCTAGCTACATTAAATTAACTAGTTTATACCCCGTGAGAACCACGATTATAAAATTCATTAAACTTTTATATTAAAAAAATCAAAATTATTAATCAATTATTTTAAATAAATTATTACTTCAGAGATATTTTTTTAATTATATAAAATTATAATCGTTGATTTAAATAAATACGTGAAGTTATATCACCTTATAATCTGTATTTATTTTATTTTATTTTCTAATCTAATGGTATTAATTTAATATAATTAAAGTGAAAAAATTTAAAATTTGAAATTTAAAATGGAGAATCAATTATTAATTTATGTAATTAGTGTGAGAATTTAAAATTTAAAATTTAAAATTAATAACTAATAGGTTAACAAGTGATATGGAGAATCAATTATTAATTTATGTACTTAGAGTGGGAATTAAAATTTAAAATTTAAAATAGATAACTAATAAGTTAACAAGTGACATGATAGATTACATATAATATTAATGAGAAGTTCTAATATTATGATACTTATCAATAGAAGAATAAACCTATTCATTTATTAGAATATGGATAAGTGATTCTCCATTTTAAATTTCAAATTCTAAAATTTTTTATTCTAAGTATATTAAATTATAACATTATATTGAAAAATAAAATAAAATAAATATAGATTATAAAGTAATATAACTTCACGTATTTTTTTTAAATCATCGATTATAATTTTATATAAAAAAACATATCTTTTAAGTAATAATTTATTTTAAAATCATTAATTAATAATTTTGATTTTTTAATATGAAAATTAAATTAATTTTATAACCGTGGTTCTAATGGGTTATAAATTACTATATACTAGAAAAATAAAAAAAGGAACAGAAAATGTCTTTTTATGTCTGGTAGCTAGGCATGAATGAAATACGCAACAAAATAAATTTAAAAGACTATTCGAATGAAAAAAGAAATAGAGACCAAACGTGCAAACTACATCAAACCATAGGGACCGTTAATGTAACTTTTTTAGAAATAATATGTAATATTAGACCTGACAATTGTGCCGTGTTCGGATTGATGGGTTGCAGGCTCACGGATCAAAATACACCAACCCGATCCTGGCACATTTAACTATATAGGTCACGGGTTGGCGAGTTTGGAACATAAACCTATATACGATCCACCAACCTGTTTACTTATACAGGTTCACGGGTCAGATGCGGGTTCGTGTGTTAGATTCTATAAATAAAATTAATAATTAAACTTTAAACATGAATAATTAACTAATTAAGTGCTATACTTATACAAGCTGGCGGGTTAGATGCGTATTTAAAACATAAGCCCATATAATGTCTCAAACCAAAAACCATGGAATGCCAATTAAAGCTTCAAAAGCTGTTCACAAAGCTATTGAACAGGAAAGGTCTAAACGACTTGAATTGTTACATCAAAGAATTTATATTCAAAGATCTACTTGATAGGAATAAAATATCAAATGATATGTATGATGAAAAAAAAATGCAACATAATGGTTTCTTGTGAGAATATACATTACATGGATGGTGCAAATATTGTATGCGTAAGTTTTCAAGTGGAACATGTACTTAATAGAATAATACTTAATATATTTAAAGAATATATAACTTTTTAATATATTTAAAGAATATATAACTTTTTTTTTATTAAAATCCTAAATGGGGTTGACGGATTAAACCAGATGTTATTTTAGCAAACCCATATACAACCCGTTTAATAAACAGGTTGACGGGTTGAAAAACTCAACCCAAATCCGTTTATTTTTGTGTCATGTCATGTATCGTGTAGAGACTTGTCAGCCTATGTAACATCCGGATTTATTGTTCCGTATATAGATGGATCAACATAAAATATAACGAAAATGCTACTAATTTATACGATTCACACATGGAAACATTTTTTACTATGTTTGACAAAATGTGGCTGCGATTACAAGTAGAATAGATTAATGAAAAGGAAATTATCCTCATCCGTTGACATAATAAAAAAACTTACCAACAACTAGGACATAAATGATAATTCATAATATATTTCATGTCAGAATCTTTTATTGTATCCAATATAGCAATCATTTTACATTTTAAACAAAGTCTTTAGGATTAAAATATGTAAAATATAAAGATCGAGTTAATTATATATACATGCATGCCCTACCCCGATTATATATTAGCACTTCCAAACGCAAGGTCTTCATGCTCACTAAAACAAATTAAGCTGTTTACCGAAAGATTAAACAGCCAAGCATGACGAAAACAGTCTTTCTCTTCCTCTTCTGTTGCTTGATGAAATCTTCCGTATCAAAGAACACAATTAATCAGGATCATCTTAATAGAGGCTCGTTTCTCTCCGTCGATGATGATGCACACCTCATAACTTCCAGTGACAACACTTTCACCTGCGGCTTCTATGGTTTTCAAACCAATGCTTACTGGTTTGCAATCTGGTTTACAAATTCCAAAGATCGCACTGTGGTTTGGACAGCGAACAGCAACAATCCTGTCAATGGCCATGGCTCAAAGTTGACACTTCATACAAACGGTGCCATGGTTTTGACTGATATAGATGGCACCATTGTGTGGGGGACCAACACAACGTCCACAGATGTAGATCGAGCAGTGCTGCTAAATACTGGTAATCTGGTATTGATGAACACGAAAGATCAGATTCTTTGGCAAAGCTTTGATTACCCAACTGATACTCTTTTACCTTCTCAAACATTAACGAAGAGCAAAAGCTTGAAATCTACTTTAAGAAAAGGTAGTTTTCAACCTGGATATTATAGTTTCAGTTATAATAGTATTAACATTTTAACACTGCTTTATGATGGCCCTGAAATATCAAGTGTGTACTGGCCTAGTCCTGATCCAGGGTTTAATATTTGGGATTACCGAAGAACCTCCTATAATAGTAGCAGAATCGCAGTCTTTAATGATTTGGGTGTATTTAAGTCAAGCGATCTGTTGCGGTTTAATGCTTCAGATATGGGTTTTGGGATCAGAAGGAGGTTAACCATGGACTACGATGGTAATCTCAGATTCTATAGCTTGAATGAATCAACTGGATTATGGTCGATCTCATGGCAAGCTGTTGCACAACCATGTAATATCCATGGAATCTGTGGGAGGAACGGGATTTGTGTTTATGGAGGAAAACCCGAATGTTCATGCCCTCCTCATTACGAGTGGAGTGAACCTACTGATTTTAGTCAAGGTTGTAAGCCTACTTTCAACAGAACATGTGTAAACTCCACAACGTTTGGATTTTTGCCAATGCGGTATACTGATTACTTTGGCTTTGATCTAAAATTCTCATCATCCATTTCGTTTGAATCTTGTAGAAACATGTGTTTGGCAGATTGTCGTTGTCAAGCATTTGTTTATAAGCTACCAGGTATAGGTGATTGCTATGTTAAAAGTGCTCTCTTCAACGGTTATCGGTATCCAAAATTCGCAGGAACCATGTACTTAAAAATACCAATAGGCATGCAAACGCCAGAATCTGCCTCAATCCCTACTGGTTCAAAGCCCACATGTGCCGATGTCCCCGTTACAATTGGTTTTCCATCTATGTATGAATCATCTGGAGGAAAGGTGAAATGGGTTTATCTTTACTCGTTTGCTATAGCTTTTGGTTTAGTTGAAGCTTTGGTTATCGTAATGGGGTGGTGGATATTCTATGGAAACAACGAATTACTAAAGAACCTAGAAGAAGGGTATAGTATGGTATCTAGTCAATTTAGAGGGTTTAGTTATAAAGAGTTGATGAAGGCGACACAGAACTTTAAGGTGGAGATAGGCCGAGGAGGGCCAGGAGTTGTGTATAAAGGGATTCTGGAAGACGAAAGGGTGGTGGCTGTGAAAAGATTGGGAGATGTGAGTGACGGGGGAGAGTTTTTGACAGAACTGAGCACCATAGGTAGAATCAATCACATGAATCTAGTGAGAATGTGGGGATTCTGTTCACAGAGACAACACAAACTTCTAGTTTACGAGTATGTAGAAAATGAATCTCTTGACAAGAGATTGTTCTCCACGACTTTTCTTCAATGGAAAGAAAGGTTCGAAGTTGCCATAGGCATTGCAAAAGGCTTGGCTTATCTACACCACGAGTGCCTAGAATGGGTGATTCATTGTGATGTAAAGCCAGAAAACATTCTTTTAGATGGTGCATTCCAACCAAAGATTGCAGATTTTGGTCTCGCAAAGTTATCTCAAAGAGGTGGACCAAACTCGAATTTCACTCAGGTCAGGGGGACAAAAGGGTATATGGCTCCGGAATGGGCTCACAACCTGCCTATCACTGCAAAAGTTGATGTGTACAGCTATGGGGTTGTGATTTTAGAATTGACAAAGGGAATTCGGCTTTCTAATGTAAGTGTTCATGGAGGAGAAGAGGAAGAATCAGAGCTCATGAGGTTTGCAAGGGGAACAAAAACAAAGATTCGATCAGCAAAAGGATTATGGATTGAAGAGATCGTTGATCCGAGGTTGGGAGGGTTATTTAGTAGGAAGCAGGCCGCAACATTGGTTGAGGTCGGTCTTAGTTGTGTTGAGAAAGACAGACATAAAAGGCCTACGATGGATTCAGTAGTCCAAGTTCTCGTTGATTGCGAGCCTGAGTAGTAAAGAGAACTGCACTTTAATTACTCTTTATGAGAATGGTGGTGTTGTATATAGGTTAATTATTATGCGTTGCTTGGTTGCACTTTGCTTGTATTTAGTTTCCTGTTTGTATTTACCCTTGGCTCTTGGATTTATAAATAGTGTTTTAGTTTCATTTATATCAAAATTCGTGGTCTTTTTATGGGTTTTGTAGCTTTGGCCATGCCATGTATCATCTCTTTACATATGTTGCATGGATATGCTAGCTCCGAATCCAAACTTTTCATGGCAAGCAGGACCGGTCCAAACGGTGGGCAACTCAGGCGACCGCTCAGGACCCACGGCTCTAGGGGGTCTAAAATTTATGGGCTATGTAGTGTATATATATAAAACAATTATTATCAAAATGATTTTTAGGACTTAAATTTGGTTCAAACTCAAACTAACTCAAAAGATAAACAATTGGCTTGCGTGCTATTGCTAATTGAACGTGTTTATAGTGAAGAATAAATGATATATTTTTTTTAATCTTTATTATATTTGTCTTTAAGAGATCTTTTTTTTTCTTTTCGCCCTGGGCCCCATATACGTTTGGACCGGCCCTGATGGCAAACCTTATTTTCTGCGTGATGCAAAGAAGTGTTGCAGTTTGTATGGAAGTCCTTTATTTTATAGGCAACATTCAAGATTATGTGTCGATAGATGGTCTTTTAGTTACCTTAGGATTCTCACTTGTAAGGACATATATTTCATTCTATCTAATTATGATCTTCATATCGAATTTCAGCCATCCTATCCCTTCTTATCGGATTTAAAGATTAATAGAATTATAGAGGTAGTGCTTTGTGGTCTTCGGTAGGGGTTTCAACTTAAATTTCATTTGTTCTACTTCGAGATTGTGTCCATCATGTTTACCATATACAACATGCATATGGTATAAGAGCCATCATCCTAAATTTCATAAAAACCCTAGTTGGCTTTCTTGGTTGACATTCACACAGACCCTCATTAATTAAAAATAATAATAATAATCCTATAAAGGGTTTCTTAATCGGTTTTCACATTAATTCTCTGTTATTATTGCCTTTTATAATCGAGTATATCCCTTAGACGTATCTAAATCGTAGTCGATCCATAAACATCGACTTTTTCCAAACCTTTTATAGATTATCGTAGCACTAGATGTTTTTGGAAGCAACATACATTCTGATTCTTCTAGAGGAGATAGATTATGTTGAATCAACTTCAATCCGTGAGATTTTATTTTGAATTGAACTAGATCTATTAGAATTCCAAGATATTGAACTTTCATTTTTTGCATGTACTATGGATCCAGTTTCAAATGGTCCATAAATTTTTGTCATTCGGTTTTAGGAGTGTTGGGTTCCCGAGATCCTATTACTCGCTTGTTGAGGAAAAACAATGTGAAGGTAATTCAAACATTTGATATTGTAAGGTTTTTTCATGTATTTGGTATCATGAACTATTTTGATGAGCATGATACAACATGTTTCCATTCAGAGAACTAAGGCACAAGATTGTAACCAAGGATGACACATAAACTAGAAGTAAGGGTGGACATTTGGACCGAACCAGATTGGTATTGGAGAATATTGTGGACCATGGACTAGACCGAATGAGACTTATCGGGTCCAGGTCCATGTCCGGGTCTAAGTCCGGGTTTTCTGGTTCTTGGACCTATTTGGACCAGTACAACTTTACATGCTTACGTCACAACTTGTTAAAGTGCATTTTTAGGTTTGATACAACTTGTTAAACGAAGATGTTGCTGAGTTTGATACGTTACAACTCGTTAAAATGAATATTTTTTTGGGTTTGATATGACATAGCTCGTAAAGATGAATATGTTTCTGTTTCTTGTGCCATTTAAACCCGTTAAAATTTGAATGTTTATACTTTATACCATTTTATGAATGAGTGTACCTAATTGAATATAACAACAAAATTATAATCTAAACTCATCTACAAATATTAAATTAGACATTGAAAAAAAATGCATGTCAATTCGACTTAGAACAAATAAAATATGTTTGTTTAAAGAATTTCACAGAATTTCAAAAGTTTAAATTTCTTGTTGAAAAGTTGAAATATTTCAGATTCGATATCTCATCTTTGAAGGATTATAACTCATTGAATATAACACAAAAAATAACAAAATTACAGTCTAAAATCATCTACAAATTATAAATTACATGCTGGAAAAACCCACATATCAATCCGACTCAAAACGAATGAGATATTCTTGTTTAAAGAATTTCATAAAATACAAAAGTTTAAATTCTTGTTGAAAAGTTGAAATATTTCAGCTTTGATATCTCATCTTTGAAAGATTGTAACTCATAGAATATAACATCAAAAACAAAAAAAAAAAGTCTAAAATCACCTGAAAAAAACCGTATGTCAATCTGACTTAAAACAAATGAGATATGTATGTCAATCTGACTAAAATCGTCTTTGATGGAATGTAATCTTCGAGAGCTGCTGGGAGTTTTGAGGCGGGAACGGATTTATGTCAAGTTCTCGAAGTGTGAGTTTTGGTTATGAGAGGCTTAGTTCTTAGGATATCTTGTTAACCAGAACGAATTTTGGTCGACCTAACCAAGATTGAAGCTATCATGCAGTGGGAGGTTCCAAAGTCCCTATATGAGATCAGGAGTTTCTTGGGATTAGTAGGGTATTACCGGAGGTTAATTCAGGAAGTCTCCAAGATTGGTATACCCCTCACTCATTTGACAAGGAAGGGCGTAGATTTCCACTAGGATCCTGAGCAGCAGGCTGCATTTGAGACCTTAAGGTGTAAGTTATGTGAGGCCCCAACGTTGACCCTCACTGAGGGTGTTGAGGATTTTGTGGTATTTTGTGATGCATTCATCACAGGTTAAGGGGTAGTTCTTATGCAGTGAGGGAGGGTTATTGTTTATGCTTCTCGGTAGCTGAAGCCGCATGAGGTTGGTTATCTGACTCATGATTTAGAGTTGGGAGCAGTGGTGCTTGCTCTCAAGATTTGGCGACATTATTTGTATGGGGTTTGATGTACCATTAGAGTTTGAGATATCTCATAGACCAGCTGAATCTAAACATGAGGCAACATAGGTGGCTTGACATGGTCAAGGATTATGACTGAGAGATTTTGTACCACTAGGGAAAGCAAATGTGGTCGTGGATGTTTTGAGTCGCAAGTCAGCTAGTTCTACTGACAGGAGCGAATATATGAGAATTTCTATCGATTCGGCATTATTGGGTATGATTAGGGAGGTTGGGGTTGAGGGGGTCAAGAAAGAGAACTGAAAGCAAGAGTGACTCAGAGGCGAGATTGACAGGTTTTCTACAGACAACTGTGGATTATTGACCGGGTATGGTCGAGTATTGGGGTAACACTGTAAATTTTCAAACAAAATTTTCATTTTAAAATCACATAATTCTCATAACACATTTCACAAAAATCCCATTTATTTAATTTACAAAAAACGCAACTCCATAATTGTTTGATTAAAAATCCAGGATCCTCAAAACATAACTCTTTCTCTGGTGTGTACAATTAAGTCAGTGCCTTCCCGCGATCCTGAGGAAAACCTGAAACACATATCACATAACACGGTAAACATGAAGCTTAGTGAGTTCCCCAAAATACCACACATATCTCATTAGCCTGTCATGGCTATACTTAGATAAGACCCTCTGGTAAGTGTGTCTCAGTGGGACCCTCCGATCCTAAAACTTGGGTGAACCCTCTGGTCCTAACTCAATAAGCTCATATTAATAATATTCTTCAGCATAAATCACAAATACATAATGCAGAATATCACAATACACAGGTAAGCACATAAGACATCTGAGTCACACAAAGATACCACTCATGGTAAGTATAATGAAAAGACTCACCTTGCAAGAATCGGATAATTTCAAACTTGAATCACTAGTCTAGCCTTCGCCTAACACAACACGATGATTATCCCTAATTAATAACGACTCTCAATGAAACTAGACCAACCCTTCTACAAACTCATAGAAGGGTAAAAGACCATTTTACCCCTCCATGGCCTTAATGGTCCACAGATTAACCAAACCCTAAAAGTCAACCAAAAGTCAACGGTAGTACGTACGTTGTGCGTACCATCACTCTACGCTGAGCATACTCAACTGCCATGCAGGCATCGGCGATGCTCGACCCATGCGCTGCCCGTACTGGGATTACGCTCAACGTAATCAGTTAAGACCTTGGCTCATATCACAGATCTGGACTCCCTAATAGCTCTTACTCCATAAATTCAGTGACTTTAAAACTTTGCATGGATGATAAGGTCACAAACACACAAAACTCTCACTCTCTTAACTAAAAATTTTCATATCTCGTGCATGGCTTGATTCCAATGTCCAAGTCTTGATTTTTATGACACTACAAAACTGAATACACTCAAAGGGGTTGATCATAGTCTCTGGAGTTCAATATCTCATAAAGTCTCCATTTTTTTTTTTGGAAAAAACCCTACTATACTCTACTATGATGCATAAATCAAAAGAGTGAGAAAGCTTGAAGCTTTATACCTCTATATGAAGCTCCCAACTCAGATATGCTCAGATCCAAGGGCCTGGACTCTCACTCCTTCTTCTCCAAAGCTTCTTCTTCACTCCAAGAACACACAAAATCACTCAAAGGCTCTCAAATGCACTCACAAGATCTATGAACGAAGGCTTAGCGTTTAAGAGGGTTTGTCTGAGAATGGTGGCCAGGAATGAGGCCATCATATCCTTTATAAAGGGAACTCGCCCTAAATTAGGGGTTTCACCCTGGGCCTAGTACACCTAGTGTACTAGGTGGATCTGCTTAAAAGTCACACACATGAGTACGCTAAGTGTACTCAGCTGCCACCTTTCTCAATTAAGGTACGTATCTTGATAAAACTTCAAACTTCCATAGATTCCTTGATATAACTCCGTTTCTAATGAACCTCATATCTACAGAAAGGTGACGAGAAGCCCTACTCTTCTAGCCACTTGTC